AAAGGCAGATCTTGCCTATAAGTCATTGGCAGAAGACACTACATTTGCTAAAGCTAACCCAAACACAATTGTGCTGTGTGTTGATCTTCAACAGGTTCTTTTTTGTCCAAACCTTACGCACAACAATGTCTTTTATCAAAGACAACTTTCATGTTACAATTTAGCCATACACAATGCAGGTACGAATAAGGCCATGATGTGTTTTTGGGATGAGACTGTTGGGAAAAGAGGTTCAGCCGAAGTTGCTTCATGTGTTTTAAAATACATAACTCTACATTTTTCTAAACTCAAGGAAGGTGAAATACGGAACTTGGTTATTTGGTCCGATAGATGCGTTGGCCAGAACAATAACTGGCGCATGATTGCTTTGCTACAACATCTCCTTGTAAATGAATATTTTTCGACTGTGGAACAAAAGTTTTTGACCACAGGCCACAGTTTCCTTCCTTGTGACCGAGACTTTGCAATGATCGAAAAAGCAAAAAAAGGGGAAAAAGTGTACATCCCCTTTCATTTTGTCGAAATCATTGCAAACGCTAAGGATTATTCCCGACCATTTGAAGTAAATGTTATGGATGGCGAGGACTTTAAAAATATGGATATAGTCTTGAATTCATTGTGTACAACTAAGTTTAACATAACAGACCACGTATGGTACCAGATCACCAAAGACGACCCAATTACACTACGTGCAAGACCATCACATAATGTCTTGCAACCATGGACGTCACACTGTTTGGGAAAGAAAATGAAAAACACCAAAAGGTTCTACCCCCCTGTAAAGGTAGCAGCGTTTACTAACTTGTATACCAGTTCCTTAGGAATAAAGCCTGCAAAGAAGAAGGATTTAGATGATATGTCCCGATATATGCCAGAAGAGTTTAAAGCTTTCTATGACAATATCAAGGTTGAATAGACTAATATGAATTAAGAGTCGGATTGAAACTCACACATGTTTTGAAGCTTAAGACAAGTTTGAAAACCATGACCCTTTGCTGACAATGTTTTTAAACAATATAGGCTGTTAAGATTTTTGACATATTTTTGTGTTAAAACAATATTTTAATATATTGTATTGGGCCTGGTTGTCACAGTGTTCTTTGAATATGTTTTAGGTTATTACGTATACCTCACGTTTAGGCCTTACAGAATATGTTTTGGATTTATGAATATTTTTATAATATGTTATTGTACTATAATAAATTAGATGATATGTCCCGATATATGCCAGAAGAGTTTAAAGCTTTCTATGACAGTATCAAGGTTGAATAGACTAATATGTATTAAGAGTCGGATTGAAAGTCACACATGTTTTGAAGCTAAGACAAGTTTTAAAACCACGACCCTTTGCTGACAATGTATTTAAACAATATAGGCTGTTAAGATTTTTTACATATTTTTGTGTTAAAACAATATTTTAATATATTGTATTGGGCCTGGTTGTCACAGTGTTCTTTGAATATGTTTTAGGTTATTACGTATAGGCTACCTCACGTTTAGGCCTTACAGAATATGTTTTGGATTTATGAATATTTTTATAATATGTTATTGTACTATAATAAATTAGATGATATGTCCCGATATATGCCAGAAGAGTTTAAAGCTTTCTATGACAGTATCAAGGTTGAATAGACTAATATGTATTAAGAGTCGGATTGAAAGTCACACATGTTTTGAAGCTAAGACAAGTTTTAAAACCACGACCCTTTGCTGACAATGTATTTAAACAATATAGGCTATTAAGATTTTTTACACATTAAAATATTGTATTGGGGCTGGTTGTCACTGTGTTCTTTGAATATGTTTTAGGTTATTACGTATTTCTCACGTTTAGGCCTTACAGAATATGTTTTGAATTTCACGAATATTTTTATACTATGTTATTACTATAATATGTGCTGACAAAAAATTTGATGGCTTAGTCATAAAACTTTTACTACTTTTATATATTTGTAATAATAAACATAATTTCATACAGTACAAGTTTTATTTAAGGTTCAATTCCTACTTTCCTGAACTTTTCAGTGATTATTTAGGTGACGTCCCTGGAACAACGTTTCAAACGACTGTCGTTTGGAACGTATTACCACACGAAAAAAGATAAAAAATGTTTTATGGTGTATAAAAGTTTGTTGAAGTATAATTTACTACTAAATAATGTTATTGTACATAAAAACACAACTTATTAAGTGCAAACAAATTTATAACCTTCAAAACTAAAAAAGACTTTGATTGCGACATTCTTAGGGTGGTTACTCAAAACTGCATATTTGTCGATTAGAACGTTATTCGGCGGACCCATTCAATTGTAACATTGAACAGATGACGTATTCGAATAATAAGTATTATGTATAACCTATATTCAAAGCTCTGTCGTGTTTTTAGAGTTTTTCCATATTTGACATCTCATTAGATGTTTAGGTTAGTGACCAGAGACAAGTGACCGGACTGTAAATATGCATCTGTAACCTATAAAACTTTTAAATTATGCATGTAGTTGCTAAAATAAAGGAATATATTATTGGGAAATAAGGTAAATAAGTAAGTACGGTACACACATTTAATTATTTTTTATTCAGTTTTATTTTTTATTCATACCTGAGACATAACTTATCCCATTCTGTGACATTGACCCTACTCAAAATGACGAACCTTAATTTATTGCTTAGTAAAATGTTTAAATTCTTTTTCTTATCGCTCCTATTCCATTATAATTATTGTTAATTGACCAGGATTGTTGCTGCTGTAATTAAACAAAATGTTTTTTAGTATATTATCGAGTGCAGGGTCGAGTGCCGATTGCCTAAACACTTTGACGAGGGTCATTTTACAGCCTGAGGCTTGGCGGGGCGAGTGCCGGCCAGGTATCAGTGACCGGTTCCACGGTGCAGCGGGTAGGGGAGTGGAAAGATCCATCAGGGGATGAGCAAAATTAGTTTTAGGGATGAAATTAAACTGTTATACCCTAACCTAACCTAACCAAACTTGCTGATAATGAAAAAAATTGGTTTACTAATCGAATCGATATTAATTTTCAATCGTACCCTGTCTCTGTGAAATCCTGCCCACTAAACCCCTTTTTGTTCATTTTTTTCTTAAATTTATTGTATAATAAAAAAAATTGTTTTCACTAAAAAGATTTTTAATTAAATTTCTTACTCTTCTAGAAAAAACATTTCTAGTACATATTGGTTAAAAATATAATATATAATTAATAAAATTATGTTTTTACGAAGATTAATTATGTTATCTGACAATCAAATATAGGCCTAACAATAACTGTCGTAATAATTGGCAGATATATCCAATTACCGTCCGCAGGGCCCAAAACGATAACGGGATATTTCCGTCTACCGTCCGCTATGCACAAAATGCTAGCAGATATATCCGCCTCTATAGTCCTGAAGGGTTAATAGGGAACTAGTAAGCGTATAACTCAGTGGTATTTCCATGCATTCTCTAAATTAAGTCGACATTGAGGTGTTCCGTCTCAATTATGTGTATGGATAATCAACAATTTTAAACAGATTACAAATTCATCTGTGGGGGTGAGAATTATGATCGGACCTCAAAATTAGTGTGACATGTTCAAAGCGATGCTAGTTTTCGGGCGGGCCTACAAGGACTGTTTTCCACAGCAGCACGAATTCTATCGAATGTTAGTTGTCAGGCGTCCGACCCGACTTTGGATGGCTTGTCTGCTTCTTTTTTAAAGCAGTAGCTGTTGTTCTAATTTGGTTTCCACCACATGATTGTGCTACGTAACGGATTCCACGTCACCCTAATTAAAAGAATGTTCGGAACTTCCCCCAAGTTGCAATGACTGAATAATTTTTTTTTAAATTAGACTCGAAAATAAACGTGCGTTGCTCAGGTGACCCTTGCTCTATGACCACAGATAATAAATGGCATCGTGTGGGCTTTCCAACGAGCCTAACCCCACCACTTTCAGACGACCTGTCGCTGAACAGTGTGCTGCAGAAAATAGATAGGTTTTTTTTTGTCGCACCCTGTAAAATGACTTGATTTCTATCAAAGACGCTAAATTTTTTACCCACCCAAAAACTGGTAGGACAACTTATTGTAAACTATAGCATCTTTTACGACATAATAATCTATCAAAGTATCAAAAATTGATACAGCTTTCCCTTAAAAGTGTTTGACTTCATGCTTCATTACAAAAATGCCACTGGCGTAGATACGAGCAAAAAAAAAAAAAAAAAACAAAAAAAAATTAAGGGAGAAAGTATGAATAATTATGACAGTAGCGCAGTCTATGAGTGGCTCTAACAATGTTCTTTTTTATGGAAAATAAGCTACTGGTGGTTCATTTAGATGGGATTTCATCTTCAGTTTCCAATAGGCCTATACAATGGTTATAGTTATTGAAATTCATATTTTTTACCCCTGGACTAAAAAAAATAGGCTTAACATATCCTTGTCAAAAAAGTACAACGGTTCAATTTCTGCCGGGACTAACAGAGGTTGACCATTTTACCATTGACCATTTTAGCCTCCATTCCTTTTCAAAATGGACTGGCTAATATATTTATTTAGGATATAGGCCTACTATAGAATTTCAGTGCACTAAACCTCCAGTTGTATGCTTATTGTAAGGCTGTGGCATTTAACATTTCCAAATCAGCCCACAGCTAAAGAATCTAGGCTATTCAAAACATACCAAAATCCGTGTTTTAAACTAACCAAATTGAACTCTTCCAGTAACTTATGACCTCTTCAATAAATACTCCTTAAATATAGGCCTACTGTACCGTAATTTGAATTGTTAATTAATTTTTAATATTAGTTATATAGATTAATTGTGAATATAATCTTAATTAGTAATTTAGCAATTAATATTAAATGCCAACTGTTTCAATAACTAAAGTTCTTACTTTTTTGGTTTAGTTAAATAAATGTTTAAAGCAAGGGTGTCCTTTTGCAGATTAACAGATGTTTAATAATTTTTTTTTATAAATGCATCGCTCATTCTGTTGCAGGTGACAATGGGGGAAAATAAAGAACCAGTCAACCCGGGCAGTGCAACTGATACTAGTATAAATGAAGAAAAAAAGAATATAGGAGAGTCAGACGAGAGGCAACTGGCTGTTAAGCTGCGTCGTGTGGAGTGTGTCGGACCTTGGTTCCTTCGATATATCCGTGAAAAAGATGCGGAACATCACCATTGTGAATCGCAAGAGGCAGATGAAGAGGAGTATGAAATTGAAAATGATGATACATACTTGAAGAGCCTTGATCCAAAATTGTGGAAAAATCAAGACCACTACGCAGTGTTGGGCTTAGCAAAGATAAGACACCGTGCACCTGACGCTCTCATTAGAAAGGCTTACAAACAAAAAGTGTTGCTGCACCACCCTGATAAAAGAGCAAATGCAGGAAAGATAGATATTAATAATGATTACTTTACTTGTATCACAAAGGCTTGGGAAATTCTTGGGTCAAAAGACAAGAGAAGAGCTTTTGATTCGGTTGATCCTGAATTTGACAATACAATACCTTATGATAATGAACATGTAAGAAAACATTTCTTTGAGGAATTTGGTCCAATCTTTGAGCGAAATGCTAGATGGAGTGATAAAAAGAATGTACCTAGACTGGGAGGTCCTGATGCCACTAAAGATGAAGTTGAGAGATTTTACAACTTCTGGTTTAATTTTGAATCATGGAGAGAGTTTTCTTATTGGGATTCAGAGGCCAAAGAATCCGGTCAAGATCGTGATGAAAGAAAATGGATAGAAAAACAAAATAAAGTTGACAGAGCAAAAAAGAAAAAGGATGAAATGGCTAGAATAAGAAGATTAATCGACTTGGCCTACAATCTAGATCCACGAATTGTGCAGTTTAGGAATGAAGAAAAAGAACGAAAATTGGCTATGAAGAAAGCAAAACAAGATGCTGCTAGAGAAAGAGCTGAAGAGTTGAAGCGAATTGAAAGAGAAGCTGAGGAGAAAGCGAGACGGGAAAAAGAGGAAGAAGAAGCCAAGGAAAAAGCAAAAGCTGAAGCATTAAAAGCAGAACGGGAAGCTGAAAAACGTATTGTGAAAAAAGAGAGGAAAAAGATTAGAGATATATGCAAGGCCAATAATTATTTTATATCGAATGATAATGAATTAGTACAAAATATGACAGCAATAGAAAAAGCACTTACTGTTTACAGTAAGACAGAATTGATAGAGCTAACCAAAACTTTAGAAACCAAGGGTAAGGATGGATTTATGGAGATGATGGCTTCAGTTGAAAAACAGTCTGAACAAGAGAGAAAACAAGATGAAAGTCTTATCAATAAACATAATACATCTCAATCAAATGACTCCAAGGGCACAGCTTGTTGGTCTAAGGAAGATGTTCAAATTCTCATTAGAGCTGTTAACCTCTTTCCAGCTGGCACAGTACAGCGATGGGAAGCCGTTACAAACTTCATAAATCAGCATTATAATGGACTGCCTGGAGTAAAAGTAGTCAGAAACAAAAAGGAGGTTTTATCAAAGGTCAAGGAGTTGCAAAATACCTCTGGAGATCAGTTGAAAGAAACCATCAATAAAAATGCTTATGAAAGTTTTGAAAAGGAGAAGAAGGCTTCGTTGGCTGTTGCATCAGAAGCATCTGAACGTGTTGACGCCGTAGCAGCAGCTACAAGTACAACACCGTGGACCTCGGAGGAGCAGAAACTTTTAGAGCAAGCCTTGAAGAGCTATCCCAACGGGACACCAGAACGATGGGACAGAATTTCTGAGTGTGTCAAGTCTAGGAGTAAGAAAGAGTGTATGCTCCGTTGCAAAGAACTGGCTGAAATAGTAAAAGCGAAAAAAGCTGCCCAAGCAACAAAAAGTGCTACTGGTAAATAACAAAGTACGTTTTTATAGTAATAAATTCATTTTTGTGCTTTACTGATACGATACGGTTTTAACTTCATAAAATGGTTTTGTGCTCTGGAATGTAAAAATTAAAGTCAAAGCAAAAATATAATTTAGATTTACATTGCTCATGTGGATTCCAGCTATAGGTCTCCCAATTTAACTATATGCCATTTGACGTTTGAGATAGTATTTTTTTCAGTTAGAAGCCTAATTTGTTGTTGTTAAGGTTGGTAACTTTTTCAGTTCGTAATAGTACCTACATTTTTAAAGATTAATGGCCATTTTATTGGTTTTATAAGCCATTAGGTCCTATAGTCTTAACTGCTTAAGTTTTTAATAGGATTGTTAAATTTTATTTGTTTTAATAGGCCTAAGTTGAAAGATTTTAAAGTTTTTTTATAATACACTACCGGTATTTAAAAAGTGAATAACTGAATTTTTTGTGTTTTAGAGAAAATCATGTGCGTTTTTGCAATGTTTAATGAAGACTATTAAGATATATTACACTCATTTCCTTACAATCTTGTTATGATGAAATCTTTAAAATCGTCAGTCCACAACTAAATGTATTTAAATCATTTTTTTGATGTCCTAAAATATTGAAACAACAGTGTAACTTAAATATTAAACCTTTACGCACCAGTCCATTGTCACCCTACTTCAGAGTACATGTATATCTGTTGGTATTAAGTTTTAAGTATTAAGATCTGCTGCACCCTGCAACTAACCCTTTTGTTGTTTAAAATATATTTTGAAATGTTGCTGACTGTTAACACTAAAATAATTTTCAAAAAGTGGCTGTTAACCAGTTTGTACAATATTTTTTTAAAGTCTTTAAACAACCAAACCATGGTTACCTAGAATACTGTACTAATATCACACTACAAGCATAATTTACTGAATGAGACTAATACAGCCCCTGATCAGAAGCTCAAAGTAGATTTCACATCCTGTTGCAAACCCTGAAGCCTGTTTTCCCCCAATTTCCCACGGAACAAGCTATTACGTAGGTCTCAGGGCAAGACGTGGATCCAAGCCCGCTTTTGTAAACGGGCCCAGGCTCAGGAGCGCAAGCAACAGAACATACTTTGAAAATATTTTAAGTCGTGCGAGAATAGAATGCTCTCCGCGGTTCTCGCTCATCACTCATCACTCCCACTGCTTGTATGTTACTACTTGTTCATCGACTTATCTTTATTTGTAATTTGTAATGTAATTCTTTCACTACTTACTAATTACAGTTCCTTTTGTTCAATTAAATTTTTATTTTATGAATCCTATCAAAGAAAAATGAGGGGGCGAAACTACCTCTCGAGCCCATAGCACGTCACATGCTAACTGCTGGCCTGCCTGGATACGGTATTGTTTTAATGTCCACAGATGCCAAAAACACTATCCATTTAAACTCATGTAATATGTAGGCATATATAAAAAAAATGTGTCCATTGATAAATCAAGTAAAAAGGATCTCATTTCGATGATATTCGGTACTAACAAGTAAACCTACATTTATTCAAACAAGTTCGCGAACCAGCATGATTGGACTATGGAAACTGGGTTTTATGTGGTAGAAATTTGTTTTATCCCAGTTTTGACCCTAAAAACATAAAATTTACCAATTTCTTGCTAAACAATTTTATTTAGCTTAAATAAATAGGCCTAATTAAATTGTATGAAGAAAACTCAAGAAATTATAAATTTCAATTCTGATGTTAGCCTGTTCTTATTGGGAATAAGTAAACTGTTGGCTTGTTTACGGATATATTTTGACCGAACTTGGCAAATTTGTATATTTTATACTGAGCTAACAACATAAAAATAAAATAATAAAAAAATACACTTTATAACCATCCATGTAGCAGCAAACCTAAGTATTTGTTAAAACTAAATATTTAAGTGAAAATCCAATGAGTTAAATGGAAATTTGCTTGGTCTGTAGGTTTGCTGGACAGGGTTATTATATGTTTTTTATGTCCGGTTTGTTTTGTGTGCATTGTGTCAAGAACAGTTCTTCTACTTTAGATTAATTTTTTTCTGCTTTTGTTGATAATTAATAATAACCTGGAGAAAACTGATGTACATATAACTTAGATTGACTTATTTGATCATTATAGAAATTGATCGAGTCTTTAGCTTAGTCGGTAGCATGACAAAGTTATGGTAGTGATGTTATGGGTGATTGTGTCTCGTGTCTCTCTTGCACTGTACAGGCTCAGCCTTTGCTTTTCTTGATAACTTTGACTAAGAACAAGAACCAAACATTCCTTCTCCTTGTTAAAGTCGTATCTAGTTTTTAAATAAAAATGGATGTAGGCCTAGATGGATAGAGCCATGTTGGAAGGAAAAACATAGGTGTAATGCTCCCGTCATAGGTTGACGTCACACAGATTGCAAACAGAAAATGGCCTGATTCTAACTAACATATAAGTATATGGTATATGTTTTGATTTGATTGTTATTGTTTTTATAAATTGTTTCTAAATAGCGAGATGGTGTTTGCAATCTGGGTGACGTCAGCATATGACGGGAATATCACACCTATGTTTTTTCCTTCCACTATGGGCTACAGCGGGTCCGTATGGGATGTCTAGTTTACTTCTGTATCTAAAAAAAGAAAAAGGAGCCTACTGTACTTAAAATAATAATGTAGTTTGTTGCCCCAAATATCACAATCTAAGTACTGTAGACTAAATTTCAACAGCTGTGTGTTGCCCCATTGTGCATAGTGCAGCATTATGGTGAGGGACATGTGCATGGCTCCATGTGTATAGTGCAGCATTATGGTTAGGGACATGTGCATTGCTATGTCCCTTACCAATGTTTGTTAATCTATGTATTGATCTTTCCCCTATCTTTTGATAGGCACTTCCATCTGCTATACATACACTAGGTATCCATGGTTCAGATATTGTGTTACTGTTTTCATGAGTTGTGATTATGTTATTGTTTGTTTTAATGTGATATAGGTTAATAGAGAATGAGGAGGAATGTGGCATAGACAACCAACATTGAAATATAAAAAAATATTTTTGTAACACTTGCAATATATGTAATGTAAATAACTCATGACATTTGTTTGTATCAATTGAAAATAAAATTTTAAACCAATCAGCTTTGAAATAATTTATTTTCCCTTAAATGTGTTTACCATATACCTAGTACCTATAGCCGAAGTCATCTTCATTATTTTATGTTAGGTTATTCAACCTTCCAAGTTTACCGACCTAGAGGAAGATCAATCACCGTGAATTGATGTTCGAACGCTGATCTTGTCTGTTGTTTTAGGCGCTGTATTTTCTGATTGTTTAAGTGCACTGCACAAGCATTTAAACATACCTACCTTCAAATCTCTTTGTCTCCGGTCCAGACTACACTGGTGTGAAAGAGGTAATATACACACAAATTGTGCTGTTTTTATATTAGTGCCTAATTTTTAAAACAGGAAGAAAAATACCACAATTAAACTCATATTATATTTCAAAATTTCATTTTTACACTCAACATTATACATCAGGGAAAATATCTGATATAGTATTTACAACAATATTTTTCAATATGGTCGTGAAGAGTAAAAAACTAGCTTCTATAGTGATAGGGTAAATGATATGATGGTTAACATAATTATATTTACAATCAGTAAATTAATTCGGCGAAAGTATTGTGGCAAATTGACATTCCATGTAAGATGCACACTGTACGTATAGTCAGTGGCGGTTCCAGGACCTTGTCAAGTGGGGGGTGTTCCACACCTACTAAGAAAGAGAATGGTCCAGGGGTTCTCCCCAGCAAAATTTGGTATTTTTAAGCGGTTCGATGGCTTTCTTTAGCCATTTTAACGTCTAAACTATGTTCAATAATCTCAGTTCATTTTTAGGACAATTTTGTATTTGATATCTATATTTTCCAGAATCCAATGGAGGGGCTTTAGACCCTTGGAACTGCCACTGTATGGTTACAGAATTTTTGGAAACTTTTGATTTAGTTTTTGCCAAATTTAATACACAAAAGAAGTAGTTTATGAAATAGTAGTACACTTATAAAGTTGTTAGGAACAGAATTACAACCCAACAATGAGATATATTATTGCTGAATTGATAATTTTTTTTACTAAATATACACTGCGGTTAAGTATAGATATTCTATTCCCTTGTTTTAAGTAGTAGCAATTTTTTTTGTAAAAAGAGCTTAATTCATTGAGCCACCAAAGAGTGTTCACCGTAAAACACAATTTTCTTTCTTTACTCCAAGATTTAAACCATGCGGAACTTAAAGCCGAACAGTTAGTAGTTATGTTTACTATAGCAGCATTCGTTTTTGAAGGAAAATAAATGTTATGTTCCATCTATGATAAATATTATTATTTAGCAGTCTCAATCCAAAAGATAAAAGAGAACTTCAATAGGAGTGAATTTAATGAAGGGCTCGTCCAACTATGGTCTCTTAGCAAAAAAAATGGCTATGGCTGGTCCATGTACAGTACAGTAGATGTTATGTATTCTTCAGTACCGGTATCCATAGACTATAATAATAGGTTCATAGAAATACATTAGTACAGAGTGTTATATTTTAATAATCTAAATGATCAATTTTCTTATTGTAAGAGTTAGGCACTAAAAAATGTGATGATCCATTTAAGTACTGTATTGTGTCAAATTAATCTAAAATTACCAGTGGAAATAAGTTATTGAAAGACAAAGTACATTCAACATTAGAAACAGTCCAATGCTTCAACTTTGCTTTGGTTGAACAATTTAAACCATACAATAAAATAGAGCGATGATCATCGTGTATCTCAGAAATTGACCTCAGATATGATGATGATTCAAACACAAATGTATTAGTTTATTCATAGTTTAAGGCGATAGTTATTGCATTGTAGAGGTTGTCTTAACATTTAGAATACTTTCAGTCTATTCTACCTGATAATGTTGGTAAATTTAAATGATTTAGATTTTTACTGTTTTTTATAAATTTTCTGATAACCAGCCAGTTGCCGATTTGCAGTGGAATGGAAATCCGGTACCTCTCTTTCGAAAAGATAAAAATATTGGAATAAATAAGTACATAAATACTAATTGATAAGTACATAGGTACTGATCACATTAAATACATTACAGTTCCGGCACCTTGTTTTTTTACAAACCGTGCTCTGCCGATCCCTATAGAAAATATCAATAGAAATCATTTTAGTTACAACTAAAAGAATAACAGTCGTTGACAACTCATGTTTGGTGTTACATTTGTTTTTAAGGCCAAGGACATCTTGAATACTTAGTGAATTCACACTTTAAAGCACTAAAGCTGAAATCAATTATATTCAGTCCAACAATACACTCTTTTATACTTAAGGATTTGTTCATGTAGAATAGACTGCATTGTCACAATCTAACATGTAAATATATTTATATTAAATAGTAAAAAGGCTGATTTCAGAATTTCAGCTTCTCTGTATAAATCGGTTTCGTACATCTATTGCGATTATATGATATCCACATGTAGAATACTACAACAATCACTCTACACACGAACAGTAATTCATATTGTTTGGTAGAAATTACATGTTGAAGTTACTATTCTAGTAGTTTTATAAGAATTTAAAATGTTTTGTGAAGTTTAGGTTTGTGACAAATGTTTGAGAAGTAAGACATTGTAAAGGCTTTCACATTATTTGAACACACAATGTTCTTTAGAACTCTTTAGATGCCAAAGTTGACAGTAAAAGTAAAGTTACCTGTATAAATGAAATAATGGGTTTAAAAAAGGTTAAGATTTTGTTGGATTGGTCTAGAGAAACTTTGAATGAGGAAATGGATTAATAACGATATACAAAATGCTAACACAAATTTTATCTATCAATAGAACTTTCAAACCCATCCAACCAGTTTTATATTTCAAAGATTTTAATTACAAAAATATTAGTTAACAAATACTTATTAGTAAAATAAATAGTTAACTTAATAAAACCTTCGTGCAAATTGTAAGTAATTTGTTTAGGAATAATTTATATTATACAGATTATCAAAAAAGGATAACAACTACATTAATAACAACAGTGTATCAAGAAAAGTTACAAAGTCGTTGTCAATATGCATTACACATGATCTTTAGGAATAATATATCGGTGTTTGATGTAAACATTCAATAGTAACTTCAATCAAACGCTTAAAGAGAAGAGTGAATACATAGTCTCTGTCTAAATACTAGGTTATTAAATAAATTGCACCTATCTACTTATGAATTGGGCCATAATTTCTGTCTCAAAGCTGTAAACTCAAAAATAATTTTCACCCTATTGGGCAAAATTTGCGTTTTCTGTTTATTTTTGCAAAATGATTAAACATATTGATTTATTGACTATTTTTTTTTGTATCAACTAATTGGTATTTCACTTTTTATTTTTTTACATTCTTGTTATTTCAAAATGACCATAACTTCTGAATAGTCATTCTGGTATTATATTGTTTGAGTTAAATCTATTGTATCATCAATTTAATTGGTTCAAACATTGTATTGAAATGATTAGACCAGGCATATGCTGAGACGCACGTGGCGCAACACAGGATTTCACAATTCAAATAGAGAAGTATTCAATTTTCATATCAGACCCAGAAGAGTTGCTTCTATCGTTGATCTTGGCGATTGTGTAGTGTGTGTGTTGCATGTGCTGCAGCCCAACATGAGGCATGTGCTAGTCACATTCGTGTGCTGTGTGGCTTACGTTGGGAAACTTGGCTTGTGTGTTGTGTCACTTGGGTCTCAACTTACGCCCTTCCTTAGAGCAGTCTATCAGTTAATAGGTTTTTAAGCGGTAAATAACATCACCATTTTAATAATTAAACAAATTTTAAATCAACTAGAGATGATTAGTACCGGCACCTTCATACCAAATAATATGAAACCATTGTTAATCCATCTCAAAAATTGTTACAATGATACTTCCTTCATATACTAATGTATAGGGAGAGAAAGTAAAAATTGTATTCTAAAAAGTATTTTTGTTCAATGCCTTGCAATGAATTAAGCTTCATGAAGTGCTAATTATTTTACCTACGACCGAATACTGAGTTTTAGCTAGCGAATTTCCCATAATAGGAATAAGCTATTACCGAAGGTCTCATGGTAAGACCTAGACCCGGGACCGATTTACTTTTTCGTTTTGAGGTCCCCAGAGGCAAAAAACACCATCCGTTCAAATTCATATATAGGTCTGTATAATATATATGTATGTGTCCGTTAGCACGATAACTTGAGCAAAAATAATCCGATTTTGATGAAATTTGGTACAAATGTGTAAACCTACGTTTATTTGAAGAAGTTCACGAACCAGCATAATTAGATTATGGGAACGGGGGTTTATAGGGGGTTTTATGGAGTAAAAATTGAGTTTTCCCATTTTTGACCCTTAAAACACAAAATTTCTTTTCAAACCATTTTGTAGAGCTTAAAAAAAGAAATAATTTTGTATATTGAAGCGTTGTTGTATGCCTAACGGTTACGGAGATAGTAAAAAAAATGTTAGTTTAAAATTCTCATGTTATTGTTATGGAAGAAAACATCATCTCTCTTAGTTTTGAGTTTTGAGTAGTGATTATTAGTAATTAAAAACCGGTCGTAGGTTAAGCAGTGTAGGCTACACAACTCTAGTGTTAACGACACTCATAAAAGTTAAATTTTCTACTCATGACACCACTATCCTTACTCGATCGTTGCGCAAACTACTAATTTACAATTATTCAAATTTGAGGATGTAGACTTGCTCATAACCATGTGTAGCAGACTGGATGACAATTTTTGGGATAAGAATATTGTTTGATTTTATTCTACAGGACGAACCAACCCACATTGGCTTTTTGATTACTTAACTGTGTTTAAAATATATCACTTTCTAAAATGTTTGGAGGGTGATATACATCTAAAAAAAAATACTTGTCTCCATTTATATTGTTGCAATGAAATAAATAAAATTTAATTGTGGTTTGAAAGTTATTAATATACAAATTTATGTTTGGTTTATCTTTTTAAAGAATTGTAGGCATATATTTATGAGGTAAACTATATTTGATGTCCAAATTACATTTATATTGGGGCTCTTATCTTTCTCTAACTTTGCCAAGTCATAAAATGAATTATTTGTAAAACTTCAGTTTCAGGTACTACAACAGTTTCAAAATCTACATTTAAGGTTGATTTAAAAATGTGGTACCTATTTATAGTAGTTTACGCAACGATTGCGTTAAGTTAGTCTTTACGACACGATTAGTAAATTTAAGGCACAAGCCTTGGCGAATGCCTTAAAAACTTCTATGAGTGTCGTAAAGACTATTAAGTTGCGTACACTACTTTACCTACGACCGTTTTTTAACTACTAAAAATTTGGTTTTTAATTACTAACAATCACTACTTATAACTTCTTAGAGGGGTTATGTTTTCGTTTATTGTCATTGGCACTGAAATTGATGCAACGACTTATTATATATAATCAGCTGATTGCATGTAATTACGTGTTTGTAAAACGTCGTTAAATAATGCGTTACTTTTTTCAGGGACTAGGTTCTGCCAGCAGCATTCTTACCATAAATACTGTATCAGGTACAATTAGGGAAATATTGCATCTTTTTTTGGACAACTGAGTAATATAGTGAAACAGTTAATTTACAGTTAGATCTTAGCATCGAATATGTAGTCCACAACGAGTTGGGTGAAAAAGTGGTTAAGAGGGTTTCAAAATAAACCAGAAGCACATTTTCATTTATCAATATAACCTTATTTTGTTTCGTCCATTTAATGAATTGCTGGTATGTAAATTCATACCTTTGTTTCGATTTTGGTGGCAAAAGATTAGCACAAACAGTTTGTGCTCTCATTTCCATCTCGTCAACTTCACTTTCACTAACTGGCATTTTTAAATCAGTTTAATCTACCTTCCTTTAACTTCCACGAACTTGGGTTAAGAATACGCGAGTATCAACAGGAACAAGTCGGATCAACAATTAAAATTGTCAACTGATCAGCTGACCAGCTGATTAGTTGACGAAGCATTACAATTTTACTTATTTTCTCTCAATCCTTGAACCTCATTGGTTACCCGTGTTGTTATGAGAAAAACTATGCTGTTATGAAATGAAACTATGCTGTTATGAAAGTAAACAGCTGTTAAGTGAAACTTTACAGAACTGAACTGAAATGGCCACTTTAAAAAACGGTCATAGGTAAAAATATTTAAGTTAAATTATGTTTTCTTCATAGGAAACACTTTTACGATAATATGATAGTAATATACTTTTGGCTAAATTGTGAAATGTAGGATCTCATTTTAGACATTGTACTTTAAAGGTATAAGATCTTGAAGAGCATCGATTGTATTTCAAGCTATTCAACCTGTTTCTTGAATTGTTATCTCTTGATCTTCAAACCGTAATTTCATTAAACTTGACAAAAAATAATGTGTTCTTCAGAATATTATGTGTGGTTGGCTTTAACTGAACTGAAGTTTTTTTTTTAAATATCTGTGCCTGTAATTATAACCATCATCTACAATCCATGAAAATCGTATTGGATATATCAAAACACAATTGAACTTAAATGGAACCAGTAACAGTTTAACTATGTATTTCTTAGTTTTTTGTAGACTAAAAAGTTTGTAAAACGTTGTTTAGTAACAAAAAATGTAAAAATAACTCAATATAAATAAAAAATGCAATAGAAACATATAACTTAAATCCTAAAAATATATATTACAGTTTTCCAGGATTCACAAATCCTATTTCTTAAATAACATTCTCCTTGATAGGTGTAGTTTGATTTTTACTGTACATTTATACAAAAAAACAACAGGTACTACATTGGAAACCATAGATATTATTCCGTTTCACCTTCTTAGCATAATGCATAGTACCACTAAATTATCACTTAAAAAATGGTTTACATGGTTTAAGTTTTAAAGTGGGAAAACAATATGTGGCTCTAGTACTTTATACAACTATTGATACGGTTTTTAATTGGCTTTAGTTTTCCTTAATACTTTATTTATCATAGTTGTAGTTTAGTTAAGTTGCCAGCAGAACACTAACAATAAGTAATGTAATTGGTTGTGGTTATCCAAGATACTAGTATAAAAAGAGACTGAAAATCACAAACAACGTTATCTTTTAATTTAATGTCAAAATCATATTTGAATGACGATTTGTTGATGCAAAACTTTTTTTATTTATTATTTACAAAGTTAAAATAATTTTTAACTGACAAAAACTAAAATATCTATGGGGAGAGATTTGTAACATCCTACTCTATTTACAAGGAATACATACATTCAAGTAAATTTTGGTTTTAAAATACTATAGTTTGGTCTTGATAATCTAAATGTCTTGATGTTTTACATGAATCAACAGGAAATCACATGAGCTAAGAAGTTGAAACTGGAACTATTAAAAAATTAATTAGTTGAGTTTTTCTACCACTCAATGTTGTAAGTTTCTACAAGTGTTGTTCAACAAAAGGTTTCTCCGAGGCTTCAGAGATGGAGAGGACGGGTAGTTCAAAACGATGTCCCGCAGGCTCAGAGTCTTGCCGCGTGAAGTCACAATCTCGGCTGTCATGGTCGCGCTCCCGTAAGTTACCCGCACTGACTGTGCGACGCATGGTGACTGCGTGCTCAGGCGGCACTAGAGGATCCCTCTCTGCTGACGAGTGCGCAATGTAAACGGCAGAGTTGATACGAGACCGAGACAATCGGGATCTCCAGCCTGGAACCGGGTCATCCATCCCGAAGTGATGGAGGTGTCTCTGTAAATTGAGGATCCTTTAATTTTTTCATCAGTTGGCTAGTGTTTATGCTTTGCTTATGACTGTATTTGAGTCTGCAGTGATCCTTTTTTACGTAAAAAAATCACACCCTGTTTCTGTGAAATGAGCAAAAATCCAAGTGGCAGCTAGTGAATTTAGAAAGAGGGCGAAAAATAGAAAAGAGGGACAGTGAAAAAGTACGTATTAGTCCACAACAAGTCCCTAAAGTAGTTTTTTAAATGAATTAAAATCATTTAATGATCATATGTACCGAAAGTTATTGCTAAAAATTAACTTTTATGATAATATTAACGAGTTTACAATAAATATTTAGGGAAAAAATCAAGAGTTGTGTAGTTACATCTTAGATAAAACAAGATTTGTTTAAATTCAAACTTTTTATAACTAAACCCATTTTACTTTTCTAAAATCTGCCCTTGGAAATAAAAATGTGATCCTATGTCAGTAAAAGTTAAAACTTATTGTACCTATTTAATTGACTTTTGTCATTTTTACTTTACTATGAACTCTTATAAATGATCAAAAATAAAAACAACCTGCATCGTTGTTATGTTGCAGATGTGTGTGTACAATCGTAAAAAGTCTATTTTTGTTTGATTATTCAATGAAAGGGGAAAGGGGCTGGGCCATATTTAGTTCCTAGATGCTCAAGCCATAGAGGCCCTTCTATGCTAATTTTTTGATGGCTGGATTGTAAGAGGTTTAGAAACAGAAATACACGTTGTAACGCTTCAACTGGATGAACTCCATCCTTCGTTAAACCGCTTTTTTCGATGATCTGATCAGGGAATGGACCTAGGAGGTTAGGGCACCTAATAATAAATAATTTTATTTTATTTTTCAATAATTTTTACGATCCAAATCTTCCGGAATCATCTTCTTTGATCGCGGTCGTGACAAAATCCTGGAACAATCGTGAAATTATGCTTGCAGCGAAATAGTGAACATTTTCCGTGATCACAAGGACAACTCTTATTGTCATGCACTGTGGATGCGATACTCCCTGGTGTGGATTAACGAGTGAGTACTACGACTATCCGCAGTACTATCCTGAAAATTAGACTAATTCGTATATACCAAGGCAAAAATGTGGTTCGGATTCCACTATAAACTGTAGGTCCCTTAGTTGCCATTAGCTGTATGGGCTATTAATTTTTCATTTATTTATTCATTTATTACATGCACGGCAAATGCCATTTTACAAGAGAGTTGAGTTGAGATTGATAAAAATTTATGTGACTTAAAGTGAAATAGTTATAGTGCGATCAATAATTAAATATCATAACAAATATGAAATGATAATAAATAATATGAAATATAATAATATGAAATACGATAACAGCACAGTTTTGATGAATAAATATACATGATTTACAAGACGTAACAGCTATACAGGCATTTTTTGCACGAAAAAATAGACAATTTAACAACAATAAACAATTATAAATTATATAAATTAACAGCTGTGTCTAATTAAGAAATAAGTCGGCATAAGTCACTAACAAGACTACAAGATCGCGCCACTCATCCTACACTCATCTCCATTCATACTTGGCTTAAAATACCTACTTTGCATGGTCGCCATTTCATTGAAATGTAATGTCTTTCAAAATCATGATCACAAAACCGAAATAGAAAATATTAATAAACGGCCTTGGTCACGACAAAATCGTAAACATCTCCTGCGGGGTCGCAACGAAGGTTAATCGTGGTTATCTTCTGCAATTGTGGAGGAAACCAGAACGTGTTCTACGTTCACGGCAAAAATATTAAACATTTTGAACCATCGTGAAGACATTACTCTCCCTTACAATCGTGGAAAAATTGTGAACATCTTCCACATTTGTGAGGACATCATCTTCGTCTCTCACGATAGTGAAAAAATCATGAACGTCTCTGTGGTCTTGTAGGAATCGTAAACAACTTCCATGATCACTGCAAGTCTTGATTATCGATCGTGCAATATCCGCAGATGCTTTCAGCGATCGTGGGAATATACTACTAAAACCGTACTTGTAAAATCATGCTAGGCTAGAAAATCGTATCCCCAAATGAACAGATTTTCAGCAAAAATCATTTTCCAAGAAGAACATTCTGTTGAGGTCCCGAGTGAGCACCATCCCCTTGGGCCCAAAGCGTGTCAAGTGCTAACTGCCGGCCTGGTTGCTATGGTTCTATGTATTTACCATACCATCTGGCTAGATCAATTCAATTTTATTTGTATTTGTTACAACTCTATAGTCCTGAAAACTATATAAGGACAGCATAGACATTCAAAAGATTCATTTACTAGCCTAACTAAACACCAAGACGATATATTTTTTGCAACAATACTTTCGGAGGAGAAGAGTCAACAAAAAGTAACTTGTGTTCTGGCTGACACTCATTAGTACCACTTGCATCTTGAATCACTGGTTAACTTGTTCACAGACTAACGCATTAGATCTTACATCTAGTGTAGACACTCAATATGGTCAATATGTACAATTGCTCATTTTTAAAGACAATATAATATTATACTTAAAAGGGTTTTTCAAAATGAAAATGTTTCTAGTACATTTGCAACACTAGTTATTGTTATTGATAAAAAATAAGTAAATTTAATTCGATTTATGAAATAAATCAAATGTAAAACTATATTGTTTGAAGGTCCTAAGACGTTTTGAAATGTTAATGAGTATGATCGTACCGAAGAAAAGGTTCAAAGAGCAGACACTAAGCAGAAATGTAGGCTTCATGCAAGATGATATAAAGAAGGTTAACAATCTAACATAACACACTGTTAGGGATTCCTCACGCAAACTATAAGCAAACAATTGATAGCAACCAGCAATAACAAGAAGTGTAATAAAAAAGCTAACACACAGAACAAGAATACACCAATAGTGAATCTAACCAATGTTACTTACTGCTACAAAGCATTAATAATGTGTTGTTTGATGTTTCTGCATATGAATAATAATGTCTTTGTGTCCTACTTACTATGAAAATGTTGTGGTAAATGTAAACGAGAGAGGTTCAAACATTATTTACCTGAGTGTCAAAAATATCTTGTTTTTCCTGAGGATTGGACCCCTCCTCTTGAACTGGGAATGGCTAAAAATTCATTAAACGTGTCACAGTTCATTAACTACTGGGTTTCAAAATGAAAAATCCTTGATTGAACTTTTTTTAATGAGTGTGAGTGTTCAAATTTATAATACTGGGCAGCAATGTGTGGTGTAAAATGTATCAATAATCTCACCCAATTCATGTCAATGTGCAGGTACCATATATATACAGTTCAACAATGGACAAACAGACCAGCACTACCACATGAAATTAATATTGTTTGTAATTACACCACAGCAACACCAATGTAACAACAACATGTGATCAACAACAATGCAACAACGAGTCAACGTGTCAGCGATGATAGCACATCCGGAGGTGAGCGAAGCCTGAAACTACAAGCAATGAAGCATTAGTTCACCTCGGTAGTGTATGGGATAGGGTAGGAGTTTGCGGATTCAGGTCAACCTTAGGACTTGTGAAACTACAACACCTTTCAACCAAGGATTAGGGGGAGACTTTCAAATTATAAATTATAACACAGTTTCATTAACATTATTTAAAAATAAGGCAGACTATGATACACACTTTAACGAGGTTATACAAGAACCAGGAGTAAACTTCTCAAACTATGAAACTCTTCAACGGGGGAGTTGTCAAACTACAATCATTTCTTATCCAAAGGTTAAGCTAAGCTTCGGTTGAGCTTTCTAAAACTAACACTCTTCAACCAAGAGTTATACCAAGTGGTACAAGAGCAATACTGAATACAAATGTATGGCTGACGATTCTAATCCGAAGCTAGAAGCCAAATAAGTGGATACCTAATACCTTTATTTAGTTTTGTTCAAAGAGGTTAAACTTAAAAGATATAAGCAATTTTTAACTTTATCCCTAACCAGTGTAAATAGCATTGGCACTAATAAAGATATACTTGAAGCTACATTAACATAAACACTAGTTTTGACTGAATTTAATAAGACAAACAATCACGTTAGACTTGACAATGTATTTTTTAATTTGTTAATAAATTTATGCCTTTTTATGGTTACATGGGAGTCAAGGTACTGCATTTTGACAATATCTTGATAAATTAACCAATACAATGTAGAATAATAATGCAATGCTTATAAATTGTTCGTTGTTTTGACTAAACGAATTTGATACAATAAAAATTTGCAAACAAGTAAAAAAACAGATTTTTGGAGTACATATCCCATTCTAAGCCTTCTTCCCATTGTTGGATTGGGCTTGTTTGCAAATTAATTTGAATAATCAGTGATTGTGACCTCTTGAATTTTTTTATAATGTAGAAATCCAAAACTAAAGATTTCTTAGCCTTACTTTTCTTTATTTAAAAAAAAAATCAAACCCTAAAACTAGTTTCAGATTTGTGCAAGCAGATTTCAGGAACCCAGAATTGAACCTTAGCGACACTTGGTAATACTGAACCAACAATCCTCCCAAGGGTTAGGTCAGGGTTAGGGTTAGGTTAAAGGACAACTACCTCGAGGTGATACATTATATGCTTACTGGGAGCTAGGGATCTCCGACTCGATGTAGGAGGGCGAAACGGCAGTTGCAGTCTCTTGAATGAGAAGTGGGAGGCGAATATTTGAAGCAGTGATCAAGCAAGCAGCAGCCCTGGAACAGTACACTCTGGGAATGGCCGTATCGTCAGCCGCAGACAATGAATACTTTAAAACCCATCTTTAAAGTATTAACTTTTTGTTTTAACGCCATTATAATTTTTTAATGTTTCAGTTAGGTAACAGTCCAAACCCTGGTGATGTTACTGTTACTCCTACTAAACTAGACCTCACATTAGACATCATCATTAATTGATAGCCTAATAAAAATGACATCTGGATACAGGATTAACCTCATTATGAGATTGAAACCAGCAACCTTCAGAATTCAAGATAGTTTATAGTTGTTTGAATAGTACTTGAATAATAGTAGTTTGTGATGACAGTTAACCTCCAAGTTAGATAGGTAACCTTCTATTTTGTTTTGTTAGTGTTTCATTTTGTATGAATCATCACACAACTTTCAAAGAAAGTGAACCAAATAATCTAAAATTTTGTGAGTTCAAGTTTTAATTTCACAATTGCACGTGAATTGCGATATTTTATTAGGATTGTTTGTTAGACATTTGTTCCCATAGGAAACAATTAGAAGAGTTTGAAATCTATATAATTAAAGCTAAAATTCTTGTGAATACAGTAGAGTCCCGCAAACTCAGCACTCGATAACCCGGCAGTCTGGATAACTCGGCCATCACCTGGCTCAGAAAATTAGTGATTTTTTGAGTCCGAGTTAAAAGTGGACTCAAGCCAGCGCTAGACAAATCATTCGCAACTCATACCAAGGATTTGTTGTACTAAATCTGATGACTTAATACTGACTTGTAATAAAAATATTAATAAAAAAGGCAGTTAAAAAGCTTAAAAATTGTATTGTTCTTATTTTTAACCCTAGTTCCTGATAACCCGGCATTTCACAAACTCGGCACCCTTCCAGTCCACATTACGCCGAGTTTGCGGGACTCTACTGTAAATATTTTAGGTTTTATTTGGCACACTTGAGTAATATGAAAAGCTTGTTGTAGTTTTACTTTATTTTTAAAATAAGATAACTATAATCAAAGATAACAATGAAATTGAGTTGCTATACAAATTTAAGTACCACCCCCATATACTATATTGATTTTTATTGAAAACCAATTGAATAAGTTATTGAACCATTCAATTTTTTTAAGTATAGCAAATCTGGCAAATGTATCACACAGTTAGAAGACTAAACTCTTAAAATCACTCTCGTTTTCAATAATTAAACTAAACAAATAAACAAAACAATTAAATATATGAGGCAACTGAAAAAAGTGTTTACATCAGAGTTTTTAAAATGTAAACCAAATTGAAGTACACCTGTAAAAAAAACTAAATATCACATTATGGCATATTACCAACATCGTACATTTTATGTTTATGATTAAGTATTAAAGTATTACCATAAGTATTAAATTCATAAAAGTATTCTTTATTTTTTCACTCTAAGTGGTCATACAATATTAAAATCATAAAAATAGTTATACACATATTACAGCCAACAATCTATGCTTAGATAACTACTACCTACATTTTTCGTGATAAGAATAGAGATTTAGGCTCGATGCATATTGAAATATTGTGCAACAACTTAACATTTTCTTTGTGACATCTATGGACACCAATATCTGCATTTTTGGAACATGCAGGAAGAAAACGTAAATATAGATGGATAGGTTTTGTTACAGAAACATTCACATGAAATGCAAACACCCATCTGCAAGCAACATAGGGTAAGACACTTGGTATTAAAATGTGGGTTTACTAACAGAAGTAGGGAAAATTTAATAAATATTTAAGTTTACTAGAGCTGAATTGATTACTAAAACTAATCTACGGATAGGTCAAAATTTCAGTTTACCATTATCTGGCTGGTAACCGCTATTGCTTATTACTTTTAGGAAGGTTTATTACACTATTGAAGGTTTTGGTAGTTTTATCAATATTCTTTTTAGGAAAATAATATAAAAATATGTACCTTATCTACTTTTATTTAAATAATTTCTACGTCTTTACTCTATTGCTATTAGGGTTGAAACTAAGATGTGTGAAAGAAAAGTATATAGTAATGTACATTTAAGTTTAATGTAGATGATGATGTTACTATTCAACAAAAAATTTAAGTGGTGCACTACCTAAGGGAATTTTCTGTATTGAATTCTAATTTTAGTTATTGAGTCATTCTTTAGATACAAAAACATTGTCCGGAAAACAGCCGTTTTTAGCTCTCTAAATCGTCCGCAAAATCATCGTTTTTGGGTAACTTCTAATAGGGAAAAGAAATAAGGGATATGGAATATAAAAAGGGATATGGTAATTCTGGTATATGGTTATCTCAAAGTTATGGCACATTATAAATGTAACACAAATTATAAAAATGCTGCTAATCTCACAACATTTTAAGTTATATTTATAAACAACAGAAATAATATGCAAACATATTGATGCCGACTTTGTATAACCTTAAAATTATTTCTATTTGGTCTAATTTTGTAACAATTAGCAGGTTATTTCCATGTAAAGTATGATGAAAATAGTTGTTCATCACACAAAGCGAAAGTATTTTTTGGTAAGTAATCGTATTTAAAAGCGAGGTGCACGATTGCGTACCAAAAAGAGCCACTTTTGCTCCCAGTGATGAAAAAAACTGTTTTGTAACATTTATTTAATTTCTTCATTTTAATTTAAAAGAGACTCCTAACCATAGACTGAATCTAGACTAAATCTCTTGAAATTTATAATGCTTTATTAATATCTTAACAGAAATTTTGTATGAAATCCACCTACAAGGTAATCCTAAAAATGTTCCTAAAAATCACTAGTTGAGTCATTTTAAAATCTACGAATCAATAATTATTTTAATAAAACACATTGTACTTTTAAAACTTACGGAACTTAGGTAATTCCTTGCATCATTTCTATGAAAATTGATATTGATTTCTTTTAATTTGTTAAATAGCAAAACTAAATATTAGCTTTAAATACTCTAGTGTGACTAAGCTATTACTATGAGTGGAGATGAAAAACTAATCTTTTCATTGGTTCTAATGTGGGGGTGTTGTGAAGATTAACATTTTACCTTTCCTCCGCAGCTAAATTTTCTTTTGCTGCAAATAGGGCACGAGCAAATCTGTTTGTGGAAAAATCATATTATGGGTTGAGGGATTTTGGTATTACCTGTTGTTAAGCTGACATGCCATAATTTGGAAAGCCTCTTTATTTAAATTGTAAAGCTTATAAACTGGAAATAGGTACAGAATGTTTTTACTATTATTTGTGATGAAATATTGACAAAATCAGCATATACAGTGTGTGGTAGAATGGAATAACACAGTTTGACTCAGGTAGTACTCTGGCTGACAGAGGAGATGGACAAAATTGGTCTTGTTGTCATCGGCCACTCATATCATTTCAGTTACCTTCATGGTTTGGACCAGACAGCAAAGACATTATGCTGCCCTCCCCTTCAAAAGCCAAAGTATTATGTGGATAAAACAACTTTGATCCGTTCTACCCCACCCTAGTAAGCAGAACTAACTTCTTTAAAAAGTGTGTTATATTAACTTTACAGATATATCAAGAAATGGGTTTTGACCAATATAGACCCTTGTTTTATGTCTTTATACACAGTTCATAGCAAAACCAGCGATGCAATAACTGAAGAATATGTTTTACTCATTTTTAGATTATTTTCTTGCTGCAAAAACCCACTTGTACTGTTTAGTTGATTAGTGCCACAGCTTTATTTTGACGCTTTCACCATACCATTGATGTTTAATGACAACAATTATTTATAAACATATAATTCTGTGAAATACCATTTTTTTTTTATTTGTAAGGACAGTCATATATAGTATGACATAATAGTTTAAGTTTTGGAACAATTTTCTTTCAAAATTGGAAGGATCAAAACGGTTATGTCTTACCTGTGAGCAACAGAAGGTGTTGCCTTGGGTGCTCTGGCATGCTTGGGCGGCAGCACAGGCTCCAGTACCCGGCACCTTCAAACACACTCATACAGTAAAGGTACAGGATGAATATGATAGTAGTGAATGGAAACATGATAATAGTAAGATTTCAGGATCAACAAGCAAAAACCAAATAATCACACAGGATCAATAAAACCTTCAAACAGACTAATGAAATTACCAGTCTAAAGGGGAATTGTAGCGGAAAAGATAGTTAAGTTATTAACCATTAACAGTAACTTAGAATAAAAGCCTTTAAAAGGTAATTATAGAGGAAGGGATTTACAGTGGCTGAAAATTTGCCTATAGTACTCATAAACGTTTTGGTTCCTAACCTAGGAAATTTTATAAGCTGTTTTGTGAAATTCTTCAGTATGGCTGTTACATTATGCAAATTCAGAAAAGATTTCCATAACAAATGTAACCAGGAGTGGTGATAAAAAGAGCTACAACTAATACTAGAATAAAATAACAGCACATAGATTGATACATTTTTAAACAGTCTTGATAATGACTACTAATACATTTTTTACACTATTTTAAAAGCTGCTAAGAAGAATTAAAAACCATATCCTAAAAATAATGTTCTTAATACATTTCTAAAAGCGTAGTATAACGATGGAATTTTTCTAAAAAAATTAATGTTTTCAAACGTCCAAAGCTAATGGTAGTGACTTGCAACATTGGTTCCAAGAAGAAAAATTGCTGGGCTAGATTATTTAGCATAACCTTTTTCATTATTTTTATGGGAGGAATCAACATACTGCAATATCAAATACTGTAATGTAAGCTTACTTATCTGTAACAGGATGAAAAATATACTGAATCTACTTTATTGTAAAGAAAGAGTAATGAAATGTTTAGGAACCTCTGATGCAGTCACCTTGGTCACCTTGAGTTGGGTCTCCTTGTAGTCTGGTTGATAAGGTAGCAGCATTCGGATCTTCCCCCAGCGGTTGAAGAACAAAATGATGGCTGCTACCCAGACCATCAATACTAGCACTACAATGCCCACCTCCACCCCACGCACCTGTAAGTAGAGGGATGTAAACTATGTCTTTCCTTCATCATTGGGTTTTTAATAAATTATCCTAACGAAACAGCTGATGTTAATCATTAATACAGCTGTTAGTCATTGAGACAGCTGATGTTAATCATAGGTAATCTCATCCCATTATCACTTGTCCTCTCATTCACCTTAAAATACAAGTACATTGCTTTTAATGTGAAGCAATTAAGTGGGTTAACCGGCAGCCAATAGCCAGTTTAAGACAGTGGATTATCGGATAGTTTCGCCCCAGTTTGAGCTTAAGAGTTGTGAGAGTAGCTGCCAGGTGCGCTAGTTACCCTGACATTGTCAACCCCTTATTAGAGGAAAAAATTAAAACTACCGCTTGTGAGGAAAAACTACAACAGCCTCTTTTGTCAGACGCTGTTATCTCTCTCACTGTCGTAGGTCTACTTACTACACACGGAACCAGCAGCTTAAAGAGGTGTTCAGTAAGTGCATCTAACTGTATAGAAGCTTATTGGTTATAACAATTTTGAAATATCTTGTTAAGGGTGCAACCATGTTTTATCACCTACATTCTGTCATTGTGTAATCACAAAAAATAACAGTGCAGTAAAAAAACTTGTCACATTTAGGCCTCTATTGTGTAGTAAAAAGCTAATTTCCATGAAACAGCTTCATTAGCAGAAGCCTAAGGTTATCTGTATAGTGTATATAATTATTATTGGGTTATGGATAAGAAGTTACCTGTATATAAGTTGGGGGCATGTTGGTAAGGGGGGGCACTCCTCGCGGGCCCCCCCCTCTGACCCCCGGGGGTGTGATTTGTACCTCGTTCGTTCTGGGTAACTCTGGAACAAACCAAAAATGAACAGTTAAAAAAATAAAAATAATAAGCTAAATTTATACTCACAGAATAAAATTTGGTATGTCATATGTAAAAAACAACAGAAATTCCTTGGGTTTTACTCTTTTTGTTCAGCAATAGTGTATAATGCATTATAGTGTAAATCTTATTATGCGGTTATAAAATATTCTACGATTTTGAACAGTTGTAATCATCTCATTGCTAAATAAAACACCCCAAGTGTATTAAATAACCAATGCTAATTGGTATTTTTGGGAATGACCTTTTCTTTTGTACTTTGTTTAGTAATTTGCCACTGTAATGTATATGATTTGGTATATGACAGTTCATTTATTTACATTTTCGTACATCGGTCAGTCATGGCTACCTAGCTTTCTAAAAGACCAATGTTAAAAATATTAAATTTTCATTTAAAGTTTTTAACGAAAACCGAATTTTCCCAGAACAGGGGCTAGCATGGATAAGTGTTTTTAGCCTGAAACTGATATTCCTAACATTTAAGAGGAAATCATAGGAGCCGTTTTTGAAATCATTTTGCGCAAATGTTACTCCTATTATAGTATAGTATAGATATAATTTAACAGCCATATCCTCTTCTTTAATCTGTTAAATACATAAATTATGGTATGTATTTTAGATGAGTAGGCCCCCTACTGATGTTTTCTCAGAAAATGGCAATGCTAACAATATGCATTGAGGATTGATTAGACTATACCAGCTTTGACAGAAATGCCATCCTAGATCAAAGTTGATGAGCTCGTGTCATTTTACTGAGCTGTATGATTATTGTACATAGCAATATACAGTTTTGATTCATGTAGCAGTATAAGAGCTTTTTCTGGTTATACCAAACCATTTGTTAAGGGAGGGAATTTGGGCAAGGAAATGGAAATGGATGGGGAATTTGGGGTAGAATTGTGAAGACAAATTAGTCTATTTACGTCAATACGAGAGTTCCAGGATTCATTTACAAATTGCTAAAGCACCAATGCAATCAATTTGTGGTTAGAAATCAATTAATTTAGGGGGACTGAAATGAACTGCATGTACGGTATTTAGCTACCAAACAGATGAATTTGTGCATGTCATATTCTCTCTCAGTAGAATGAAGGATAATATTTTTTGTACTGTACAAAAATATTATTTTTATTTCATTTTAAATTTTCTAAAATATTTTTTATTTATTTATGTATTTCCATTTGTGACTGCTATATACATATTTAGTGGATTTCTAATTACTGTTGTGTTGTATTTTTCAGAGTTACAAAATATTCAAGATTGTTAATTTACATTATGGCACCCAAAGAGAAATAAATATACTATTGAAACAAAGCTGCTGCAATCTAAGTGAATTTAGGGTTACTTAGTGAGTTTACACACTGGTTTATGACAAAAAAAAAGAGAATTTACACTTAAATCCGACCGACGGACCTTCCTTAAGCATATACAAAAAACACCAACTTGTTAAAAAAATATTTGTTCAAAAAGTCTTTAGGTTTGCTGCTTTAAACAACAGTTTTTTATTTAATTTTCAAAGCCAAATATAAAATAACAAAATTTGCTAAATTTTGAGAAAACATATTTAAATAAAGTAATCGGCATTACAGCAATCATTTATCTTTGAAGAATAACATGGAGGACAGTGTACAGAATTCAGCACTTTTAACATATCGGTATTGACATATAAAAAAAATTGTTTTTCTTTGCTGAATTGAATAGTGAAAAGAGTGTTTATGAAAAAAAAACACAGCGCTAATAAATTAATAATTGCTTGAGAGGTAAATGTTCTAAAATCACAAAACCCTTGAGGAACATCACAGTTGAAAACTATATCACAAATGTCAATTACAAATATCTAGATTACATTGCAAGATTGGCTTACATATCCATTAAAATAAAGACATAAAATTCCACTTTAAAGTTGACAAAGCATACAGTACTTAACATTTTACCTCAAGCAAAGACACAATGGAAGCTCCCACTGACCAGCTATAGCTTCTACCATTGACCATTGACTATATAACACTACTAGATTGAAGACTATGCGGGAGGACGCGTGAACAGGAAATTTCTACAATGTACTGTGTTGTGCACGGTGGATGCACGTAGTACTGACCCCTCTACTTAGATCGCAGCACCGTCACCACGAAGTTCATGGAACCGTCGCCTGGCGCGCTGCAGTTGCTGCCAACTGGACTGGACTGAGCTTAGCGGCGGACTAGACTAGACTAAACTGTTGGACTAGACTCGGCGATGCGGAGTGAACGATTGCCCGCGCTCGCGATGTACTCGGCAGCGGGCGGCGGCGCAGCTGTGTGAATGCGATGTAGGTCATTGCTCCTGATGTAGTAGGCTAGGCTACTGCTGCGCGCGCGATACCGCGTTTTGTTTACTCATAGTCATTTGCACGTACCGTTTGTATGCTTGGTACGGTACGAGTTTATTCAGGAGGGTATAGCAAATCTTTGACAACTTATTTTTAATTTCTCCCCATATTAATTAGTACATGGATAAAGTATTGTTTACCCCAACATTTTCGAGTATGAGTTTTGAGTGGATATATCCACTGAATTGATGTCTGAAATCACCGAACGATTTTGAAAAATAGTACTGTAGTATGTTGTAACCCTTTAAATTCAGAACAAAATAGTATAACTCCAATTTCTGTAAAAATTACGGTTAAAATTCCATTATAAATTATGGTATTTCAACAAAATATCCCTTAATACAAGAAACAAATCTTAATTTCTAAAAAAAAACATGTTTTGATTGAATTAAGTACTCGTATGTAATAATCCTTTTTATTCTTAACAACATCTAGTGCAGCCCCATATTCCGGTAAAAACTACGGTTCAAAAGTTCTTGAAACTTATGTTATTTTCCCATAAAACTATGACAAAACCGAGAAAAGGATTAAAAAAAAATTAATTCTGATTGATTGAAATTCTTCTGTGATGGTCCTTATAATTCTAAAGCAAATAGTGCAAAATGTATTCATTATAAAAATTGTCATCGTAAAAATCTTTAAAATTAACAACGCTTAGTGAAGGTTAGTAATTTCTTTACTCCAAACAAATAATCGAAAGATACATTAAATTAACAGAAAAATGATTTCTTATTTGCTTATGTACAGTACAAAGAAAACTTGTTGAGTCCAAACTGTTGTTTGGATCTCCCAGACTGTAAAAAACACCCCCGCTGCATAGTCAATGCCCACAGGTACGTGACCGCGAGGATATCTCGGCTTTTGTAAGCTGGGGTACGGTGAAAGTTTACGATCCCTCGTTTATGGTCCTATGATTTAGCAAATGAAGACCCCACATCGGCAGCTACAGACAACCCAATGTATAAAAATATAAAACACCCTGGTCAAAGATTTGGTTCTGCTGTATACAAATAAATGCTTGTTAAATGCGTTAAAAGAAAATATAGGCATACTCCTACATACGCTGGGGTTCTCGTTATCTGGTTTGAAAAATAATGTGACAAATCTGCATTGCAAAATAATTCAGGCATTTTGCATTACACTTTTTACAAAGTGATGTGATACTTAAATTGAAATAGTGTTAAATGAAATTTAAAAAATGTGTAAAAATAATATTTATTACGTATAACCATGAATATAATTAGTGTAAATAGTAGTGAAAAAGTCAAACATATGTAACATATGTATCAAACATATGTAAATATATTTAAGCATTAACTGAAAAGTTAACATTTAACAGATGCTACTTTTCTTGTACGGCAATAACAGTTGTGTTTCAAAGGTGTCTCCAGTAACTCAAGTATATACAACAACGGAAAGTGTTGTAATCATAAACAATACATCTGTGTTCTACTGGTGTTGAGGAATCAAATTAGGGTTATTTAATTGTATAGTACGTAAATACTTTTCAATAAATTAAAAAAATAAATGTTTGTATTTTAGTCTAAAAAATGCTAATAATTATCTTATTACTAAAATATAATATGATATATTGCTGTATTGGATTTAAGAGTAAAATGAAGACGTTATGTAGTGATAATCGTGTCTGTCTAGAGGTATCAAAACATGACATAGATGAACTATTGAGTCGTACTATCGAGTTCATTTCATTAATGTTAGTTGATACTGACTGCACAATATTTTTCGTAGTTGTCAGCTGATATGTTTCAATTTGTTAATATCGATATATCGAGAAAAAATCATCGATAATAATGAATGTTCCCTTTAACAGGAAAGTACCGTATGGGTACTGTTAATTGTCAAACTTATTTCGGTAATATCATTGACTATATAACACTACATTTTATATATGTAGTGTTATATAGTCAATGGTAATATGTTTTATTTTCTATTTTTTACAATATTCAGGTTTTACATTTAATTCGGTAATTTACAATATTCATTCAGCTAGGACCACTTGTCATTCAACTAGGGCTTTTAGCAGGGTAATAAAAGTTTCTCTTCTGTGAACGCTTCCCTCGCCAGTCCTTGGAAATTTGTAATCCCAATCTTGGGTGAGCGAGGTTTCTTTTTCAAAGCGTAAAAGATTAGCATGCAAGAATGATGCAAGTGTTTTATATTTTATTGTTATACGAACAATGGTTTAAAAAATAAAGAATTGTAAACTTTGTTCTGCTGTATGTACACAGTGGAGAAGTATACATGCGAAATGTCAATTCTATCTCTGAAATCACCAAACAAAGGATATTGTTTAGGTAATGAACTTCAATTATGTATGAAACACACTTGTGATATAGTAAATCACCATGTTGGGGGTGAAGGTCGTTTCGGATTTTTAATAGTTTGTAATATATTCCCGCTGTTAAAAATTTCAAATAACCATTTTGGTTATTTTTTCCCATTGATTTGTGAACATTTTTAACATCTAGTATTATAAAAGGCTGTGTATTTTGAAGGCTATTTCAATTATACGTTAAGCAGTGTAAATTTGATATCACAATATCAAAATCGTCCAAAACACAGAGACTTTGTACAGT